ATGCTTGGAGTCACCACTAATCTATTTGTGGTAGGTCGATTAGAAACCTAAATAAAACATAGGGAGATATGTTTTATTTCTACAAACCAGAGATTCTAAGCTCGGGGACTTGATTACGCTAGATCTAGTCTAACGCCCTTTCGGTACCTTTTCTTTTTCAAAAAATGTTTATGCATGCAGTCTGGCTCCATTTTATTGCCTAATTACTAACATGTGAGGTGTTCATGCGGGTGCGCAAACCACCAATTTAACACCCAAGAAAGCAGTAAATAAATAGCAGGATAACATACCTTAAAGCCACGCAAGCCTCTGCATTGTTAATAGAAAATCATACAGACAATCCTAATATGATTTCTAATTAACAAAGCAAGGTACTCAAGGTGTTTATTAGGGTTTGCGCTTTATTAAAATGCAAACTAACCTATATGCAATGACGTGCAAAAAATGACATGCAATTAATGCAACTTAGCATGCGAACTATATGTCATGCGACGACGTGACTTAATTCTAATGACGGAAAACGATGTATTTTTTTTGGTATTTTTCTCATGAAATTCGGAATTAAAAATACTCAAATCAACATGCAATCTATCCTAGAGAAAATGATTTGATCTATCCTAAAGTGATTCTTTTTTTGGGATTTTTATTAAAATTCGAAATTTTAAAATAACCTAAATAATCTATTAGGATTAGAATAACACCTAATTTAAACTAGGAAATAAATTATCTCAAGTCCTAATTTAAATTAAATAATTATCATATCTTCTAGATACATTTAGGGTTCCCTAAACATGCAAAACTTCTAATTTAAATCTAACTAACATATTTTGGATTTTCTTTATTTAAAAGGAAAACAATCAAACAAAGATAACAATCACATTCAAACAACCCATGCAATCCGCAAGATTCTTCAAATTCAGATAAGGCAAAGAAATCAAACTAACGGTCATATCTATAGGGTTATAGATATCGACAGAAAGTTGATTGTTCAAGTTTGGAAAGCAAATAAAATTTATTATCGTATCCAAGTGATTATGGACAAGATAATAATTTTCCGTATCGCCGCGTATCGTACCTTAGGGATAAGGTCGGATAGTCGTTCAGATACGTTGCCAAATTAGGAATGATTCTTAATTTTAGGTGTTTTGAAATATCACGGATATCGCATGCATCATCCTAAAATATCTAACAATCCACAAAAATCACGCAATATTTAAACACGTAAAATTAGGAATCCAAATATTTTTAAAAAAATTTAGATAAGAACCTTACCTAATTTCACGGATTACTTTCCAAGTTTGAATCGTCTCGGGATCGCAGATCGGCACGGTGGCCGACGGTTTCGCGACTGGGGCTCGATGGTGTGGTCGTGGGCTCCTCGGTGTGATTTGCGGGGCCAAGGCTGGCGGTGTACTTGGTATGGTGGAAAGACTGGAACAGAATCGGTCGCAGTGGAACGTTGCTCCGAGTTCCCCGCGGGAGGCTGCTGCGTTTGTGATCGAAGCTTGCTGGTCGCAACAAGATCACTCCGAGAAACTTGTTATTCGTGAACTGGAAAATCACGTAGTAGGCGGAAGTCTGGGGACTCCTTGAAGAACTGCAACCCCCTTTGAAATTCTCTATTCACCAATCAAGCTCTCTTTTACTTTGACCATGCAAACCACCTCCTTGGCTCACGATTTTCTCTTATCAATTATACACCTCTCTTGGCTGGATGCTTTTCCTTTGACCACCGAATGACTCTAAGCTGGGTTGGACTTACTGGGAGTGATTCAAAACCGTTCAAAACCGGGCACGACGAGGCCTCGTTGAAGGAGACGCTGGAGCCGGTTTGCTGGACGTTCGCTGGGTTTCTGAGACTTTGCCTGGACTGTCGCTGGGACTCCGAATGTGCGGCTTCGTCGTCTTGGTGCAGGAAGATTGCTGGTGCTGTGGCTTTGCTTGAGGGACACTGATATTGGAAGAATGACGTCTAGGAAGCTGCTGGAGTTGACAAGTGGCTGCTTTGACGAGGCTGGGACTGAGCTGTTCCTCCGGCACTACGGGACCAGCGAAATTAGTGGTGCTGTTGTGCGCTCGGAACAGCAGCAACAGCGGGCTGGCGACAGCAGCGGCAGGAGTTGCGGACGTCAGGGAGAAGCGGCAACCAGCCCGGCGTTGGAATGGGCGACACGGGCACGGCAGTGTCGACTTCGGGGCAGCAGTGACTCACGGCCACAGGTCTGGCCGTAAGCGTGCGCGACGTTGGTGGAGGCCCGGCAGTGAGGCCACACGGATGCGGCGGCGGGACAAGTCCACCCGTGATCCTCTCTCTCCCCCCGTTCCTCTCTCTCGCTCTCGTGTTTTCTCTCTGTGTTTCTTGTGTCTAATCCCATCCAAAAGAAAAGCCCCCCACACGCATTGCGCTATCATCTTTTTATATGCCAAGAAATGGAGCCCACCAAGGAAAGAAAATATACAATTTTTTCCTCTTTCCAACCACATATTGCACAATCTGGCC